TCTTCCTAGATGACACCATTGGCTTACAGGGTGTCAACACCTCTTTTTAAGAGGAGCCTCCTGCTCAGTCTGAAACATGCAATAGTTCAACCAGTATCAAATCTCACTCAGTTCTAAAACTTTTCAAGCTACTACTCGGTGACTTGGCTTCCTTTTCTAAGCAAGTCAATTGAGAAGCTGGCAACAAGAGTACCGTACTCGAATTGTTAACTTTTGGAATCTTGGCTCCATGTCAGTGAGGCTTTAGGCCAGCAGCTGGTAATGAGAGAACATTTGTTGCTCTGGTGAATAACCTTCTCCTGTCCATGTCTATTGTTCTGGCTCTCTCTAAGCCACTTAATATAACAGATAAATACACTTTTCTTGCCTCCAACAAGCTGTAGGAGTGAGTGCAAATGCACAGAAATGGTTCAGATCCCCAGATGAAACCCAGAAGATCCTTACAGGCAAGCTAAAAAACCTGATGCAGGGAGAGGAATCAGTTCCTTTCCCATCTTATTCAGCATTTAGAAGAATGTGTTGGGAGTGCCAGCGAGACAAAACAAATTGGCCTGGCAAAGGAAGGGCTGGAGTGGTAGTATAGCTGTGATGGTGCAAAAAATACATGAGAACATAAGCAACTGATGACTGTTGATAGTGGGAAGACACAATTTAAAGGCTCTGGTAGTATGCAGCAGGGTTCAGGGCAAATACTCTGGTATGCCAGGATCAGCCTGGTGCCATTGGGGCCATGTGCCAGGCTATGGCTTGCTTGTATTGGCCCTGCACCATGGGGGCTGTATACCAGATTCTAGCATTCCTGGATCAACTCTGAGCCATCGGAGCCATGTGCCAGGCTCTGGTATGCCTGGATTGGCCCTGCATGACTGGGGCCATGCCCAGTCTTTGGCATGCCTGGATTGATTCTGAGCCCTCAGGGCCATGTACCAGGCAGGACTGGCCTTGCACCACTGGGGCCATGTGCCAGGCTTAGCCCCACACCATTGGGAACATACACCAGACTCTGGGTGCCTGGACCAGCCCCATGCCATCAGGGCCATGCACCAAGCTCTGGCATGCTCAGATTGCCTCTGTGCCATTAGAGGGCCTCCTGATGTATAGGGCTGGTTTGGGCTCACTTGAGCTTGACCCCTGGCTTTGATGGTGCAGGCACAGTCCCAAAGCCCTGGCCCTCTAACTCCCTCTGCTCCATAGACTTAACTGCAGAAGCAGCTCCTGAGTCCTGCCTGAAGTGCAATGGAAAGTGTTGCTGCTGGAGCTGCTCCCACCACCCTGCCTGTACTGCTGGCTGTGTGTGCATATGTGCGTGTGTGTGTGGCACCCCATGCCCCACAGCCTTGGACTTTTTTTCCCCCTTTACCTCCCTTTCTATAAATTTCAATGTCCATTGATGTTTATCAATAACAATCGATGAACATTAAATCTGGGGAGGCAAATGCCCCCCCACCAAGGCTCCCCTAATGCATTGCCAATGCATGAGAAGCAAGTTTTTTGGGGGGGATATCTTTTACTGAACCAACTGTATTTGTAGGTGGACTAACCACACTGTTGGACCAATAAAAGATATAACAAAAAACCCATGCCTTTGCCAAAGGAATACACACAGTGCCCAACTCCATGTTCCCTTTAGTTTGAGCATAAAAAGTGCTATCTATCAGCTTTCTAGATGTCTGTGTGAAATTAACACCTAAATGAAAAGTAGCTGACTAAAGCTGAACTGAGGAAAAATTCAGATGATGCTGGTAGAAAGATGGAGAACTACCTTTCTCTGTAACATTTCCAAGTATGAGGACTATCTTCTCTCATGCTATATGGTATGTTGGTGCTTGTTTTTGGAGCCCTTCAGTCCTACTTTCAGTGGAAATGCAAAACTCATTATCTCAGCTGCCTCACAGAGATACACACACAGCCTCTTCCCTTCCCGCCCCCTTACATACCAGATTGGGAGAGAAAAAGATCTTTTCTATTTTTAAATGCTTGGAAGGTATTCAGATATGATTTGAATGAGGACCAATAGCTGAATCAAAACTGAAAAAGTAACAAAGAAGTAAACAGCCCAAATTAGAAAGCAAAATGTCTTACTGTTAACTGCCCCATCTCCCAGAGACTAGAAAAAAATGGCTGAAAAAAATGGAGTGCGACTATTATTTAGATTGCAGTATTGACCTCTGTGGGCTAGATACTTTCCAAACACAAACATCCAGTCTCTGCCTCAAAGAAGCATATATTACTCACCTGAAGTATCTATCACAGTACCGCCCGCCTCTCTAATAATGACTGTAGCTGCCGCCAAGTCCCAGCAGTGTAAGCCAAATTGATAATATGCATCTGCAGCTCCAGATGCTAGATGGCACAGAGCCAAAGTAGCACTCCCAATGACACGTACCCTGGAAGCAGCAAGAAGAGGCACAATGTAACTTAAAGGGGAAAACTCCTGTGATTCCAACTAATGTATTTATCAACAGAGTAATGTGTCATACTTGATTGAAATGAGGTAACATTTTGTTTGGAATTAAGGACATCTGTGAACGTTTCTGACTCTTAATTATAATGATATACAAGTCTGTTTAAAAAAAAAAACAACTTACCCATGTGCTTGGGCTTTGAGTAACCTTTCCATGTTACTCAGGAACAATTTCAAAGTTTCAGGGTCACGTTTTGGACCAATTTCTGTTAAAATCAAGGCCTTCGAGATATCTGCAACGTAGACAGTTGTTTCTATTAATTCACTTGCCTTTCAAAGTTGGATTTGGTAATTTCTTCAAATGAAACGTTAATTGGCTTTTCACAGCAAAACCATGTGTCATGCACACAAAAATTGTTCTGTTTCCCCTTTTTTCATATTTTTTCATGGGATAAGAAACAGCTTTGTTTAAAGCACCGTATCAACACTAAATTGTTCATACAATTATGTTATCTAAAATAAACTGGTTATAGGAGAGCAGAAGCAATAAAAACAAAAATGTATTTTTTACATGTTTCTTTTGTTTCCATCCATTTTTTCTTTTATTAAAAACTGTTAGCCTTTGGTGACTTTCTAAGCTTTAGCAGTCAGCTAAAAATAATTCAGCAACATTCTATTTATTAATTCCCCTGAAAATTAATTTAATCCAAAAGTAAAGTGGTTCCTGAACAAAGAACTTTGATCTCCTGGATAAACCCATCCATTTTAACAAATGATGTAATACCAGCTATATAAAAGACAAGAGCAATTAAAAATATATATCAAAACTGAGTTTCTAGAAATACATCTGATATAGTAAAGACTATTAAAATGATATAAACCTGGAAGTACAGTATTAACAGTTTTACAAGGAAAAAAGTTTTAATAGTTAAGATGCGTACTCAGAATTATTTCAGTTTATATATTGAGTCATTTCTGATTTACTGTAGCATTAGAGCATTATATGAAGTCAAAACTCCATTTAAGTCAATGGATAGAACCACACTGACTTTGACCGGCATTAGATCAGGCTGTAAGTGAGATCAGACTTAGGTCTACTTTCTGTGAACTATTTTAGGAAGCATAGTTTGAATTCCTTCCAAACGATTTAAGTGGGGGCATCTGGTCAAATCCTGAGTGCTGCTGAGCAGCTGCAGTGTTGACTGAACTCAACAGGAGTTGCATATATACAAAAAGTCAGGATTAATCCCTGTGAACCAGCCTATGCACAAATGTCAAATGCTGCCTTTTACATGACTTAAATTACAGGATAGACATTCATTTCTGCAGGGGGTGTTTGCTCTGTTATTATACGTAATGGCATATGTTGAAAAGGATGTGCAGTAGTACTGAGGACATTTTCACAGACAAATTAATGTGGCTTGAGTCATCATGTAATTAAACAGATATGCTAGATACAGGCCACCAATCACTGTGGCATTGTTTAAAAGCAGTATGGATTCAAGCACTTGGGTTAGTAATTGATGAGTAATATATATGTAATTAGGAAAAAAAGTCAAAGAATACTACAAACTTAACTAATGGAACAGACTTACTGATTTTAAAACACTGCATTAAAATATAGAAACACAGTTTACAAATTTGGGGGACATTATAGGACATGCAATGTTCAGCTGTAACTGGAAATTTCTAGAGGATGAAAGTAGCCATTAAATCTTCCTCACAGCACATTCAGTTTACAATTATGAAATATTTAATGCATGCCTTACTATAGAAATCCACCATGCACCAACACTTGGGCCATGACAAGAATTATGAAGCTATGAAAATGATTAAACATGTTCGTGATTAATAAACAAATATTTCCCAATTTTTAATCAAAGTTATGTCCTGTTAAAATGAGATGAAAAGACCACAGCCCCAACCCTGCCCGAGTGTCTTAGGCACAGGAAGAAGTTCCACCAAAAGAAGAATACCTTTGGTCAAAAGATGACTCCAAATGGCTGCAGCAATGCAAAGAAACTGCACCCTGAGCTGGGAGATAAGCTCCACTGCTTTGGGGAAGAGAAATAAAGAGTCTGGACTGAAAAAAGTTGATGGTGACCAGGCTAAATTTAGGAGGGAATTGTTGATGATGGAAGAAGGTAGAAGGGAAACAAACAAACATACAAAAAATAATCATTTAGTGTATCAACAAACTTAAGGACAGGCCTGATCCTCATCTGTGGCAAAAGTGAATGCTTGAGGAAATCCAACATCAATATGGTGATCGTCTATTAAGATCCTTTAAATCTACTGTGACTGTGAGACCTTCCAAACCACAGTTCCAGTTTCTTATTTAGACACAGCTCTACAAAATGCCATGTACAAAATTAATTAAAACATGGGTGCAGGGCTGTTTGAAAGCTGCAAAGTCTAGAAGCAATGAGAAAGATCTTGAAGCCATTGTCTTTACAAGACAAGAATCAGTGTAAATGGGCATCACTAAAACCTCAAGAAGAAAAAACAAAACACAGCTCAAAATTCACTGCTGCAAATCTCCAGCAAAAAGCACTGCATCTCAGAAGAGGAAAACATTTTGAGAACATATGGCCTGTCTAAGGGTTCTGGGCTCCTATGTTAGCAAGAAGTCCAAAGGGAGTAGGATCAAACTGGTGTAAGCCATCTACAGATATGCCGTAGCTGAAGACCAGGAGAAGTGACAGCAGAAGTAGGGGCATGTTATGTGGGGCAGAGCCAGAGCATTTGGGAGATGCCCAGATGGCCTCTACCAACAGGGTTCCTATGGAACCTGGTGAGTTTGATTTTTCACTTCTCTGGCAGAGCATACTTGTTGGTGGGGAAGTATGAGGAGAGCTCTGGTAGGACCACAGGTACCTGTTCTCTGGGATTAAAGGTCTTTCCTCAGACACAGCTGCTTCTATGAGGGATGAGTGACCAATTTGCAACCTCCTTCTCCAGATGAAGAGAACCAGTCCCACTAAAGACTAGTCTAAGACACAAGGTGTGGGTCTGGATCTAAACTTCCCCAAATTTTAGGGAAGATCTGGTCCAGGGTTTGGTTTGATTCCATGTCCCTAATCTGTACACTAGGCCACTGACACACATTACATTGAGGATGCAATTAACCTGTAAATTGAGCCTTAAATAGTGACCTGGCACACAGTTCAAGACAAGTTATGGCATGATAACACGGTAAACAAGCCACAAAGATATTCTACATATAATGTGTAACAACTTTGTGGTTTGCTTGTATTGTGCTTTAAGATGAATGTGTGTCAGGTTGGGGCTGGTCCATGAAGAGCCCCAAGGATGTCTGAAAACCACATGTGCAGCTCAGCTGCACACAGTTTTTAAAGGTCCCAGCATGGTGGGACCCTGGAACTGGGATGCCGCAGTTTGATCACATGGGTTCTCTGTGCTGGGACTTGTAAAAACTACATGTAGCTCAACTGAGGTTTTGATAATCACCTAATTGTAGGCACCTAGCTTTCAACTTGCTGCTCTGGTGGAACCCGGGATCATGGCAGCAGCACTGGCAAGTAAGATGCTACTGGGATGTAGTCCTTGGTCCCAAAATTGCTTGTCCTGCTATATAAATGTGGCATGGCAGGAGGCATGATTGTTGCAATCGAGGCTCAGATCCCATCATGCCTTTAAATGAACATCTGTCAGTGGCTTTAGATTGTGAATTGTATATTGTTTGATGCCCACTAAAACAATTTTATCACATCTTGTGCACAGTGATGCAGATCTGTGGGTGTGTCTACACAAGACATTTACTGTGGAGTTGCCTAGTTAGCTCTGCAGTAAAATGCAGTATCTACCCATGTGGTGTTATTAGGATAGAGTAATCTAATTAACTCTTTCATAGGATAGTACTAGTAAATACAATACTATCCTACAATGGAGTTATTTACTCCATTGTGAGCACAACTCACATGTAGATGCTGACCTGGCTGGCTGGGGCATGGGTGCTTCAGTGTGGGGCTCCCTGCTGGCTAGCCCTACACTGAAGCATCCTTGTGCCCCAACCAGCCCCTCTGCACCATAGTGAGCTGGGCAGGAGCAAACCCAGGCTGGCAGGCTGACTCTTGGGGCCCCCTGCCAGCTGTGGCTGTTCCACCCCAGCTCAATGTGCTGTGGTCATGGGCATATGCAAGCGGTGCAAACTGTGCCAGAGTTTATTCAGGAGCATTAATTTCACGTCTAGATGCACCCAGTGTCATCTACTTGCTTTCATCTACAAATTAATGCCACATTCTCCATTTGCATTTGTACTTGTTTTCTTCATGCACATTTGATCAGCCTTAAGTGTCATAATCAGAAAAAAACAATCATACTTTCAGGTTTCCCAGTATAGACTAAGTTTTGCTGATGAAATACATTTCACATACATATAGCAGTGACTTATTAAAATTTTTAAAGCATGTATCCATTAATTCCATTTACTATTGGTATATTTGTTTATAAACAAGATAGGGCACATTAAGTCACCTGGAAATAAGTGAATGACAGATGTCATAATACTCTGGGCCTGATTCACCATATCCCATTTTATTTCATAACCCGGGAAGTTTGCCATTATACAGATAGAATAACTTACTGGAATCTGGCCCTATTTCTTTAGCTAAAAATAAAGCAGTTATATATAGATTGAAACTGGTAAGTTCACATAGGAACCAAAAAAATAATTCAGATCATTTGATTCACATGAAGTTGTACTTTTCAAACAAAAATTTGGGAAAATCATGATATTTCCGGGGGAAAACACAAAGCATATATATACACACACACACACAAGTATAATGCAGGAGAAAACCTTTAAGTCAGGATAATGATATCCCTTTAGCATTAGCATTGACTCTAAAAAAAATAATTAAAAAAAAATCGACATATTTCTTTTAGAGTTCTAACAAAATCTAGACCAACCTGTCTCTTTTGATACCTGAAGCCTTTTTTCATTACAAAATGCCCCTTGACCTCTTCTACCAGTGTATAATCGTTCTTCAGTGCAGTGGTAAATTACACCAAATTCAAGCTTTAAGATTTTGAAAAGGAAAGAAATGAATGCAACTCAGATTACTCATTACAAGGATAAACAACTACTAATGGCAGAAAGATTAGTATTCTTTTAGTTAGCACATATAAGGTTATGAAGCTGTTAACAAATCTGAGTAATTTTACTGTTATGCTGAAATTTCAGAAAATTCATTTTATAAAAAGAAAAGCTAATTTCACTGTTCACTATCTTTAAAAGGCTTTTCTGCAGCTTATTTGTATGTACACTACCATAATTAAATAAAAAATTGTTTTAAAATCCAATTTAAGGTTTTATTATGACTACATAAGTCCTCAGGGCCAGGTTCTGAATACTTTACTCTTATTGGTGAGCAATTACACAGTGTAGTTCCATTGAGTTCTGTAGTACTGTCTGTACTGCTAAACCCCAGTATACAAAAATTAGGTTGTGGGCCCCCAAATTATTGCCTTACAAATTGTGAAATTTTTAGGAAAGAATACAGACCAGTTCATTTCCTTTGTGACTTCTGAACCCTTAGCATGTACTGAAGTCATGTTTTCAAAATTTTCCCTGAAAATTTACTACTACTTTTTTTTAACAGAGCTGGCATTCTCATGCAATCACTTGACTCCAGGAGCTGGAGCTTAAAAACAATACCAGGTATGGTGTGAGTCACAAAAAAACCCAAAACAATGATAGAGGGCAACACTGTGTACTTACCTACTTGCCAGTAGGAGTAATGAATTCATAATTTGACCCTTCATAATCTACACCTGAGGTACTTAACAATATTTTGCATTTCTTTACTAACTTATATCAAAAGATTTTAAAGCACTTTATATAGCTTAATGATTAAATTATACCACTACTATTTGGTAAGTATATTTATCTACATTTAACTTACGGGAGAAAGACACAGAAATTGCCCAAGGTTACACAAGAAGATAGTAGCAGAACTACAAATAGGTCTCAAACCTCCTAGACTCCCGATCTGTACATGCAACAACAATCCTGTACTACTTATGTAATCATCATTTACCCAACATTTCTCAAAGACAGTCCTTGCTCTTCATCCTGAATACCTATTTGGACTAAGCAGGTGTAAGGCTCTGCCTAAGGATACTAAGTTTCTTCCCTAAACATATCCACAGGAATCTCTCTTCAGTAATATATAAGGCCTTAGTTCCCTTGTGTTAGTTTTGGTTCCTTTATTTAGTTATTTCCTTTTCTTTGCCCATGTCCTTTTTTTGGATGGGACGGAAAAGCTATTACCCTTTATTTGTTTTAGCTTCATATTTTAGTTTACAAAATCCTATAGACAGCTTCTAAAGCATGAAGGATGCCACAGAAAAATATTTTTAAAATGTATTTTGTAATTATATGTGCTATTGAAAGGTTCTGGGGAAGGTGTATTTTTTATAATGTGATTGAAGTGTATCTCTGAAGTTTCTAGATTTTTGCAAGTCGCTGGGTGCATCTACAAGTGTACTTTAATGCACATTAGCCTATTTTAATGTGCATTAAGGTGTCACAAAAAAACCCTTGTTCTTTAGCTAACATGCATTAAAATCGGCTAATGTGCCTTTTTCTAGTAACTCACAATGGAGGTACAAGATTTAATACACATTACCTAAAGTGCATTAATGAACATGCAGATGTGCTTGGTGAGTAGGTACTCAGCACTAACCTGTTGACATCAGTGGGCATATCTACATGTGCATTAATGCACCTTTTCTAATGCGCATTAAATTTAGTATTTCTGGGCATTTTTACACATGCTCCCGGAGTGGTTGTGGGGACCTTTAACTAGAGTGGCTTCAAGAGACACTCTAATTAAAGTGCCTGGAGTGTCTTGTGTATCAGCGTCTACACGCTTCAAAATGGCGGTGGGGGCACTTTATCTAAAGCTTGTTGAACGAGCTTTAAATAAATGCCCCCACCAGCATTTTGAAGTGCAGGGACGCTGATATACAAGACACAGAGACTGGCTAGAGCACGGTAATTGCCATGCTCCAGGAGACTTGATTAATCAATTAACTGAGTCTGCTCTGCTGCACTAGAATTAGAGTGCATTGGAGCAGCCTCCAGGCTTGTGTACAGGCACCGTCCAATGTAAGGTACTAAATTAATGTACATTAGGCTGTGCTAATGCACAGTAGCACATTTGCACACATTTTTAGTGATGCTTAATGAGCAGCAGACTATTTTACTGCACATTAGTGTAATGTCATGGTTTTTTATGTGATGCTTTAATGCACAGTAAAATAGTCTACTACGCATTAAAGCGCAGGTGTAGACGTGCCCAGTGGGAGCTGTTAACACTCAGCACATATGAAGATTAGGCCATTGCTGAGTTTGTCTGATGCTGCAGTCCTTGCACATGCAAAATTTCTATTGACTTCAATGGGAGCAACATGCTTTTAGAACTGTGGAAGAAGGGCCAAAGTTGTAGTCTCATAAGTATAATATGAATTCCTTAACAACACCAACTTTTCTTTTGTAAATCAAGCAGTAAGATTACAGTAGCTGGGCAAAGCCCTCTTTTGTGGACTGCTAGAACTAGGAAACTTAAAAAGAAGAGCATTCACAAAAGTCATCTTCTTTGTTTTTCTATGTTCAGGCTATCAGGAAGATGTATCCAGAAATAATATCAAGTTACTATACCTCAAAAACCACACAAACGCAGATTAAATGCACCTGACCGATAACTTTGCACATAGCACAGTAAGTAATTCCACTGTCTTCTACAGAGCAACAACTGGGTAAGAGTCCCAGAGATAGGTAGCAGATTTGAAGCATAAGGACAGGATCACATAAGAACAAGACAACACTACGAGATAAGTACAGAAGTAAAAATGAAGTGGGACATACCAGCAATCTTATGAACCAGTATTTCCATAAGTAATCCCTTTTTAGTCATATAACTTGTCTCAATATGGGACAGCTTGCATAAGTAAAGCTCTCAAGGATAGGGATGTTACACTGGTGTGGTATAACCAAACAAAGTCCAATAACAGGGGAAGAGCTTGGGAATTAAGTTTTGGGTTTTTTTTAGTTCCCACAGTGCTCTGAGGTTTGAAGCTAGATCTCAGGTTACCAACTTACAGAACATATTTTATACCTCTTGGTTAACAGCAAATCCAATGCTAACTGCCACTGTTGGAAACCTGTGAAAAATAAGAAATAAAGTACTATTCATGAGTAATCTCTCTAAACATGCAAACTGTAACTTCCATCCATGGCTGAAACCCACAGTGAGCACTAATTTTACTCAGGTTTAAGCTAAAAATTCAATAGTATAGTAACCCTCCTGGCCTTACACTTTGGCACTTTTTAAAATATATATATAAATCAACACTTAAAGAGTTAAAAAATAAACCTGTTAATACATAAGTAAGGTTAGTATGCTAAATATAATGAACATTTTAGTGATACTTTTCCCTTAGTGTCATTGATTGATCTAGGTTTAAATTACTAACATTACTGTAACAAATGACAGTACTTACTCAAATATAAGATGACCCTGAATATAAGATGACCCCCACCAATAATTAGATTCTATATATGGACAATTTATAAATTTGTTATAATTTTCTAGGTACAGAATCTAAATATGGGAGGATTATCCTGAATCCCCCCCCGCCCTCCACAGCTACATCACGAATAGCAGTGGCTAGAGAAGGAGGGCCAGGTGGCTCCCTTACCCTCTGTCCCATCCAATTCTTTCGCCTGCAGTCTTCCTGCCCCTCCTGCACCCCCAGCTCCCCATTGCTTCTGCCCCTCCCCACAGTCTCTGCCTCTTTTCCGCAAACTTCCCTCAGTCTCTGCTCTTCCCCTTTCTTCTCCCCAATCTCTGACCATTTCCCTCCCACCCTCCCTTGCTGTCAATGCTGCTTGGGCTGCTCACCACATGGAAGCTCAGCTCTTGCCTGACCATGTAGTAGTGTTGGTGCTATTGATTGGCCAGGCAGGGGAAGAAGTATCCATGTGCTCCATGCCAGGAGAGACTCCAGCCCCAGCCAGCGCAGAGTTGCACCTGATAGCAAGTGTAAGCGGCCAGGGGAGGCAGAAGCTGCAGAGGGGAACTGGGGGGGGAGGGATGACAGGAGGCTGCTGTGGGTTTGACTCTGGCCCTGACACAGGATGAGGGGCAGTCAGAGCCACAGCAGCCTCTGTGTGCAAATATAATATGAGGGACTTTCCCCCATGTTGATTGGGGGAAAAACCTTGTCTTATATACAAGTAAATATGGTACTTTTATATACTACATGCACATTTCATCTAGTGATCTCTGAATTTTACAGGCCTCAATTAAGGAAGCAGTAGACAGGGTAGAGATGCACTTTAGAGACTAACTAAATCATAGATGCATAGACTTTTGTGAGCAAATGCATGAGGGGCTGTCTGAATGGAGCTCTTGCTCCTGAAAGTTTGTGCATCTCTCATTCAGTTAGTCTATAACTGAAGTCAGGCAGATGCCCCTGCCATCTGCCTGACTTCAGACTAACATGGCTAACTGCCTCTCACTTAATGTGGTTAAGGAAAGGTACTGTGTTGCTGACATCAACAATAAGTTAAACCTGTTATATCACTCTTTCTTGCCAAAGTAGCAACTATGTATTTAACTTGCTCCTTCTGACTGAAATATTAATCATCACTCAATTTCACTAATGAATTCATAAAATAACATTTTCTTAACACTTGAAGAAAAATGTAGATTAGCTTCAGAAAATATTACTGGAAGGAGAAATGTTGCCAAAGTAGATGAAACACCAGTCCCGAAAAATTGGGCCAAATCAGCCAGGGAATATGTACACTTACTTCCCCTGAAAGAGCATTTGCACCAGCACTAATTCTGTCTCATCATTATTTCAAGACAAAATATAGTGAATGATTTTTAGAGGTAGTGGAGCTGTCAAGCTGTGGTGAACAATATTCTGCTTAAAAAATTGTATTTTTAGTTAAAGTTGTAGTTTTGTGGTCCTAATAACTGTTATGTATTTTTTTTAAATCTTATTTTAAAAAGTTTAGAAGTCAGATCTATGGTACGCAGTATATAGGAATATTGTACTTATATTCAATGTTTTCAGATATTTTGCATATGTGATAGTTACCTGTTTCAGTGCAAACTGAAAATACATTCCCATGGGAAAAACTTCCACTATTATTAGTAAATGACATAGAAAACAATTCTACATATAGTTATGTCAAAGCACATCACCATATAGCTTTGTTCCTCCTATACAGTTCAAGTCTCTACATGTTAATGTGTAACATACAGGAAATCTTGAATCACAGCTACCTCTGTAAGATTAACTAAAGAAACAGAAATTTTTTTAGCTTACAGTTCACGAACAATTATACAGCTCTTCACACTCTCTGACATGTTGCATGGGATATAAAAAGATACTGGGATGGATCCTGCAGATCTTGCTCAGGCAAAACCCCACTGGCTTTGAAAATGCAATACCATACATGCTAAATAAACTCAACACAATAAAGTATATTTGAACAAAACAAGAAGAAAAATTTATGAGAAACTGATTTGCAAGATTTTCATAATTTTCCATTTTTCTGTATTTACCTGTGCACAAAATTGCAGGTTCCATCAACAGGATCAATAATCCAGGTTGGGCTGTCAGTGAGGACACATTTTGAACCAGCAGCAGTAGACTCTTCTCCAATAAACCTGTACATGACATGGAATAAAGCAGTGGGGGCCAACCTTTTTGGTAGATATTCCATAAGTTAGCCCACCACCCTCTCTGAGTACTACTTTGAACCCCTTCCCCAGCCTGACCTGCAGTTTTGCTTTCTGTTTCCTGTACTATTAAACACTGTGCAGCCCATTCCCTCCCTGATCTGTCATATAGCATATGCAGAGGCTGCCCATGCCACTTGTGGTTGGACAACCCTGGAATAAAGTGTGGATCAGAAAACAAATTGATCTTCCTAGGTTCTGGGGGCTACTGTTACATTATTGATTTTTCTTCATTTTTTCTTTGCTTTTTGTTTTGTTTTCTTTTGTTTTAGCTACAGGGGAAAAAACTACAGAAACAACTTATTGCCCCCTTTCACAGAAACTTTATAAAGAAATTCCCAAAATGTATTAAACAGAAAAAAATCGTTTCCCCCACCTTGTGCATCTGGAGGTGGCTCTAAACTGAGAATTTGGAAGAAGTACAGATCTGGACTGTAATATTAAAGTTCAGGCCCCTCTCTGGCATAAGTAGAATAAGTTGCAAAATGTATTTTCCATTCCTTGCAGGCAGATTTGGTCAACAGGAAACAAAATAGCTTAGGAAAACTCACATTCCTACTACAATTTTTAATAATGGCTTGGGTCAGAAGATAAATTTCACAAAGCTGACCTCTTGTTTTCCCATGACCTAGAGAAAGTCAACAACATTTTTTTTAAAACCCCAAAAGGCACACTGTTGATCTATACTATCCTAATTTTTTTCAGTAGGCTCCCCTCCTCTCTGCTTCAGGAAGTGTACGTGCAGTTCTGGCATACTTCCTGCTGTTCTCAGTAATCTTTGCCAGACAACTCAGGGCCTGATTGAACAAGTGCTTTCTCTGTGGCACCCCTGCTTTTTTCAGTGTGAATTCTATATACAAACTGTCTGCAGGATCAGGATGTTAGGGCTAAATTTTGTCTTCTGTAGCACACCACAGAGTGTTTGGGCTTTGTACAGGGAATCCCTGCAAAGGAGGTAGCCTCCTAGTCTAGGACCTGAAGACAGCAAGGGGATATGAAGGGACCTGGATCCCCTTTGGAGCTACTACTACCTTACTAATACCTACAGTGGCCTCCACCACTAAGGATGTGAATTCAGAAACATTCAAAATGTGAATTTAAGACTTTAAGAAAGGCTGAATTCAGTGGTAGAAGCTTCTAGCCAAATACAAAGCCATGTGGACTCTTTATCACAAAGTCACTGTAGAATTCTCTGTGGCGGATAGCAGGGAATTTGCAGGGCAGAATGAAGTGAATGGGGAAAGCCATCTTCCACATTTCAAGGGTGTTGGTTGTAGCCATGTTGGTCTAAGGACATAGGCAGACAAGGTTCTTTGGGTAAATGTGATATCTGTTATTAGACCACCTAAATGCTATTACGTGGTCTAATAACAGATATCACATTTACCCAAAGAAACTTGTCTGCCTAAAGAAAGAAATTTATGCCTGCACAGAGTGTCACAACCCAAGGGTGTGATTTTTGTTTTGTGAGTGCTTCGGCACTGCTAAATTGTTCCCGCTAAATTGCAGCTTCTTTGCATGGTGGAGTTTTCTGCTGCAGAGGAGAACCCCGGTGCAAAAGAATTCCCGCCACCAGTAGCTTTCTTTGCAGGGTGCATTTCTTTGTTGCAGCACAGAAATGCACGTTGCAAGGAGTTCCCGCCATTCGTATTCAAATTTGTGCCCCACCATTGGCTGTTTCTAAATTATTCCCACGTGGCGGCTAGTGATTGGCTTGCTAGCCGTATAA